CTTTCCCTAAGGGTACTGTATGTTTTTTAAAAAATATTTTAGTATTCTCCATTCCCCTCCCAAAAAGGGAGAGCAGGAAAGAGTAACAGTGTGGTCCCTAGTAATGGAACAGAGCTACCCTGTGCCATTACTGAGTGAAAAAAACATTATTCTTGTCTTCAACCAGATTCATGGAAGAGCATGATATCAAGCTTATAAGGTTAAGGCAATCCTTCAAGTAATTACATTAGTAGCCTTAGCAATATAGTCACAGTTCAAAAATGGGGAATGTGTTTTTTATGGTATCTAGGCAAGCAGCATGTACTTTTCAGAGTTTTCAGAAGCATACCTACCTTAAAAAAAAAAAAATTAGCAGTGAAGCACATCTGTTGTAAAGCAAGGTTTGGACTGGGGGAGGCTTGTCTTTAGAAAGGCAGGAATTAGCTGCCAAGGTTGGAAAAGCAACATGGGACCTTTTATAACAACAATTAAACTGGGCAATTTGCATATGTATAAATATTTAGCATATAAGCAAAAAGAAAAAAAGAAAAGAAAAACCCTTCAATTTCTTTATACTCTCTACCCTACTGTCAAGTTTCAAAACTCTCTCCACATACCAGCCTCCCTCAGCCTTTGCAATGGTACCTTCTCCAGGTTCTGCTTTGTCGCTGTTGCTCTTATGTCAGATTTGCCAGTCTCCCATTTACACTCCTTATGTCTGACATCTTCAAATAGCTGTAGACTTTCCTTTCCTTCCTATGTACAAAAGACAGCATTTCTACCTCAACTAATGTACCTGTTCTCTCATGCTTTATCCATATGCGCAGTAAGTGAAGAAATAAAATTCCCATGAAAAATCCTCCTGCTCAATCTTAATGGAAGGACTTTTTCTTCCTTCTTTTTCCTGGATCAAAGCTCATTAGAGGAGTAGCAGCCTTTCAGTGTCTATTATAGAGCCGAATATGAGGTATGGATGTAAGAAAATAATAGAGCACCGCAAAAGGGGCTTGCTCCCTTGCTCACCTTGGCCCATATCTGATCAATAGTCCTGTATGAGCAGCTTCTGGACTTTTCCTCTGAATGCCCTCCTTTACTTCTGTTCTCTCAAGGAATAGAACATGCCTTTCACTTCTTTAAAAGTCTACTTGTAAAACTGCTGTTTGCAATATTTCCTTTAGGGGTGGAGCTTGAATAGCCTCCTTTACTCCCCACCCCTTTATCTAACCGATGCTCTTAAGGATTTTTCGTTCCTTTTTCACTTTCTCCTGAGCTCATTTCCTTGTAAATTAAAATCTGAGGCTGGGACAACGTTTGTCCTTAACAGTCTGGCCACTTGTTTCTTAATGTATTTAAATCTGTAAGAATTTCAATATTCAGTTGTTTTTCTTTCTGTTACAGTGATGTAATTCCAGTAATAACATAATTCCTTCTTTGCTAATTCCTTGAGTGCTTCTCAATCCAATTCATATCTAATTGAGGGTCGGCAGAATTTACAACCTTGCAAAGTGTGCTTGTTTCCAGGGCTTCTAAGAAGTTTACCCATACTGACATGTCATTTTCTCTGTTAGGGGCTCGTTAGAATGTATGCTGCATAAATAGTTCATGTAATTAGTTTCTTTAGATTGGTAGAACAAGTTGACTGTGCCTCATGTTGTAATTACATTATTTTTCTCTGCATTTTAGTAATTGCAAAACAATGAGTAGGCTATTGCTTCTACTCCAAATTTAATTAGACCAAATTTAAAGAAACAATTTGTTGGTTATCCTGTAGTTATGGTTTAGCGACATTAAAGAGACAAGCACTCAGTGTCACATTTGCATGACACACTACCCAGATGATGGGCAAATACATCTGTGATCTCTGATAAAAATATCTATCATTGTTATCACCTGGTATACTACAACTTTTTTGATAACATGTGCCTGAACGTCCATTGGAGGTGCCGATTTGTGTGCAAAAATCTTTCATTTCAAGGAGAGTTATTTTGGTCATGCTTTGCAAGCGGCTCCACTTTCTATAAAGAAAGATATGTGCTAATTCTACTATTTTTACAACACAGAATTACAGAAGGTTGGAAGGGACCTTTAAAGATCATCTGGTCCAACCCCTCTGCTCAAGCAGGGTCACCTAGAGCACGTTGCCCAGGACCCTATCCAGACGGCTTTTGAGTATCTCCAAGGATAGAGACTGCACAGCCTCTCTGGGCAACCTGCGCCAGTGCTCTGTCATCCTCTCAGTAAAAAAGCTTTTCCTTATGTTCACGTGGCTCTTCTTATGTTCACGTGTGTTTTATTTTGTGCCCATTGCCTCTCATCCTATCGCTAGGCACCTCTGAAAGAGTCTGGCCCCATCCTCTTTACATCCTCCCTTCAGATATTAATACACATTGATCAGATCCCTGCCCTCAGTCTTCTCTTCTCCAGGCTGAATAGGCCCAGCTCTCTCAGCCTTTCCTCATGTGAGAGATGCTCTAGTCCATTAATCATCTTAGTGGCCCATCGCTGGACTTGCTCCAGTATGTCCATGTTTCTCTTGTATTGGGGAGCCCAGGACTGGACACAGCACTCCAGATGAGCAAGCAGAGGATCACCTCCCTCTACCTGCTGGCACGGCTCTGCTCTTCCTGATGCAGCCCAGGATACCATCGGCCTACTTTGCTCCAAGAGCACGTTGCTGGCTCATGGTCAACTTGTTGTCCATCAGGCCTCCTAGGTCCTTCTCCACAGAGCTGCTTTCCAGCAGGTCAGTCTCCAGCCTGCACTGGTGCATGGGGTTATTCCTCTCCAGGTGCAGGACTCTGCACTTCCCTTTATTGAACCGCATGAGGTTCCTCTGTGCCCAACTCAACAGCCTGTTGAGGCCCCTCTAAATGGCAGCACAGCCCTCTGGTGTATCAGCCACTCCTCTCAGTTTTGCATCATCAGTAAACTTGCTGGGGTGGCACTCTGTCCCTTTATCCAAGTCCCTGACAAATAAGTTGAACAAGATTGGACCCAGTATCACCCCTTGGGGTACGCTGCTAGTTACTGGAAAAACTGTGGCAGTTTCAGCAGTTAAGCTACCCTCTTCTAGCCATACTTTTACGTTCTCTTTGATGACCTGAACACACATACTAGCATTTTTCAGAATACTCATTATGGTGTGATAGAAAGATTAGTTACTGTTGGGCAGGAGGGAGGGAGGGCAGTGTTAGTGATTGTTCCCCAAATGGCAGCCAGTACATGTTTGGTCATGCTTTTCTTGCTTTTTTTGATAGCAATAATATACTGAATATCATGGTCTCACAGTTCAATGACATAACTGTTTTTTGTACTTGGTGATATGATAGCATCATTACAAACAGCATGTTCAGAGACGCAGATACAGTACATTTGTTCTGGAAGACAGTATGGCAAGTTCCGTTTGTTGCATCGGCTTCCTATGTTTTATTCTCAGCTCTGGCTAAGTTGCCTTGCAGACCTGTCGTTTGCTTTGTTTGTAAAACAGATGGATGATACATGCCAGACCCATGGACTGAAGATTATGGGCCAAAGCTGAGAATGAGTTTACGTTGTGGAAAAATATGAATACCAGTCAAGTAGAATGCATTTTTTTTTCCTAGCTGATCAGGCCCAAACAACTTCC